TTATTGCGATTATCATTTATTGATTATTATATTACACAAAATTCTAATTTTATTTTAGTTAATTATGTATTAACTAGCGTTAAATGTCGATTATTTCGCAAATTTCGGGGTAGTCCTAAACTTTTGGCCAGGGAGTGTACTTATAACTATTTGAATTTTTGCTTTATAATTAATTTTTTAGCTAAGATATGAATTACATAATTCTCCTATTTAATAATAAATATATTGTATAAGTTAATTTAAATTAAAAATAGAATTTTAAAAATCAGTTATTACATTTAATAATTATTAATAATTAAATATAATTTAATTTGTTAAATTAATTGATAATATAAACTTATGCAATATAATTATACAATTATTATTTTTATATTTCAAAATATTACAATATCTATTCCTAGAAAAAAAGTTATACTCTAGTAATTAATTGATTTTATATTATTTTTTTAGCATACTTTAGATCTTGTATGTGAATTCTTTACCAAAAGTTTAAGACTCTTAAGGATGTGAAACAAGAAGATATTGAATTTTTTAGTAATAAGAAATGAAATAATCTTATTTTGTCAGATGTTATATTTATATCTTTAAATATATCAGCTTCATCTTCGCTAATCTTTTGATATTCACTATCCTCATCAAATAGTAGTGAATTTTTCTTGACTTTGCTTTATTTTTCCTATTTTAAAGAAATACTTATCTAGTTTATACAGTTTTTATAAATTTGAAATTTTGTGCAAAGGGAAAGAATTTCATATGACATATTCTAGTGGTTCTTAGAACCTGTTATGTAAGATCACTAAAACTAAGTATAAGAAGTTAACAAAAAATGATTTCTATTTTATTGTCTAAAATAACTCAGAAGAAAGAATTGAAAATGAGTATCAATTCAATAATTTAGTAGTGAGAACTAAATCAAGTTATCAAGACGAGCATGTTCTTATTTTGAAAGTCTAAATAAAAGGTGAGATTTTTTTCGACTTTGTAAATTGAATATGGATAATAGCATAATCTTCTACTAACACTTAAACTCTTGATAGGCAAAAAATCATATGATAAATGGAATCTCAAGAAGGTCTCCAGTGAGATTTACAATAATGAGTTTAACTTTATTGATAGTATGAATAATTTTAAAGTCAAGGAACTTCTAAAGTTGACTTTCCCGTTTAGTAAAGAAGAATTGAAACGCTTCATTGACAACATTTTAGAAAAGTTGTTAGTATTTTATAATGAGATTAACAAGAATGAAGCCAACACTATAATGAGACAATGCAATTAAATGTGGAATTTGAACTTAATGGAAGTTAGGAATACAGGTTTTTGGATTATGCAGTTATGATACGGAAAATCCTTATCTTAGTGAATAAAGCTAAATTTTTTGAAATCAAAAAAGCCATTGCTCAAAATCTCGTACAAATTTATAGTGCAGTTGAGGTAAGGTTTTTAGCTAATGAGACTTTATATCAATCCTTTTTTATGATAAGTATGGGACTAATGGAAGTTTATCTTTCAGAATTTATTAGGTAAATGAAAACTTGAATAAACAGGTTTCAAACATCACCACCTCTGATTATGTAACAACTGGTTGTGAGTAGCATTTCATCTGCTGAAGTGGTATGTTAGAATTACTAAAAGCTGAAATAACTGAAGAATATGTTTGTGAATTTAGAAATAATAATATGAAGAGCTCAAAAAAAGTGGTTGATTATATCGTGAGAATTCTACAGGTATAAACTTTTACTTTACACGATAAGTATCAGGACAAAATATAAATACAAAATGATTATGCATTGGTTCAGATTAAAATTATTTTTTTTTTTAGATTTAAATAACTTCTATCATAGCTTCCTTAATTGCTCTTTTGTGATATCTGGGATGGTTGATCATTGAATAACACTACAATCTAACTGTTAAAAGTACTTTATATATAATGAACTTTTTGAGGGAAAAATAATGAAATTGTAATGGTAGCAAATAAATTTCACGAGACAAATGACCAAATTTTTTAATCAATTTTACTTTAAACTAAAAGGTTTATTTTATGAACAAATAAATATACTTATTGAAGAAATAGAAAATAAATAAGAAATAGACAAATAAATAAGCATCAAATTTCTGTTTAGCATCACATCATATGATGATTCTTTGAAATAAAACAAATAATAATCTATTGTATAATACTTAAATAATATTCTTGTCTTCGATATACTTATATCAAACCTACAAAAATTTTGCCTCTATAAAGAAATATTTCACAATCCTGACAATTACTTTCTATATTAAAGTCATTTCGGAGATTTTATTCATTGTATACTTCCTTGTTTACTATTTGTACCTCTTCCAATAAAAACAATATAAAAGAAAATAAAATCCGAATTTACCAATCGAAAAAAAAAATTTCTTGGTAAAAAAAAAAAATAAATAAAAAACGCGCTATGATTTTAAAATATTTACCGAAATTTAAATTATAATTTTTCTATAAATTATTTTGGCAGACCAGACTCAAGCCTAGACCCAAAGGTCCACGATTATAGATTTCGCTAAGCTTATATAGGACTAAAATTTGATGAATTTCAAAATTATGGGCTATCTTTCAATTTGCATCACATGATCAAATTTCTTTACTCACGCGCTTTAACATTAATTAAAAAAAAAATTTTTTAACTCCTCTCAAAATGCCTTATCATAACCGTCCGAAAAATTCAGCTCAAAAGAAAGATGAAAGAACAAAATCGTATAAAGAAAAAAAGAAGACTGAGCTTTCTGAAGAGCTTGCTAAAACACGGTTGGAGCAGCAAGAAGAAAGAAAAGGTCAATCATGGCTAATAGGATTCATAACTTACATGAATATATTCGATGAAATCCTTGACTTGCGGAAGCGCGAAGAAAAATTAGAACCAGAATGAGATGCTCATAAAATGCAGTGTGATGGAGTTGGGTAAAATACAATGATTTATTAGAGGGCAGGGTATTTGCTTCGGTTGGTTGGTCTAGTTTATTGATAAAAAAAAAATCGAGCCCAAAAAGGTCCATACATTAAAATGTAACAAGAATAGTTTTTTTTGTAACTTGGAGGTGTGTATATTAGGAAAGTGTATATAAAAGTTCGCATGTTATGGTTGGTTTTTTATTAATGTTTTATTTTTAAATTCATTATTGGATATGAGACTGATTTCTTTGGTGCTTTTCGAGTAATCAAGTTAGAGTCAGACATGATGAGAATACAGACCTTAAAAAATAAGAAATGCAAAAATAGGAATGCAAAATTTAGCTATTACGCAGTCTCCAATATCTGAACATACAAGGTTAAATCAGTGTAAATGAACTTACGAATAAAAGTTGTAACTCAAGAGAAAATCGCAAATTTAGGAATAAAATGTATTATAAACAGTCAAGATGGCCACTTAACGAGGAACCGATCATCCTCCTTTCTTGAACATATTAGAGCTTGAAATAACTAATTACAAGATCGGGTTTTATAACACTAACTTATAAAAAATGTCAACAAACCCCGCCGATGGTGATCGGTTACGCAAATCGAAACCTAACTTAAAAGTTGCTTAAAATAATAATTACGCCATCACAATTAAGTTTTATAACCAAATATAGTTTGGCGCCAAATTGTTTATTCTTAAATTTTTTTATAATACAGAATAATGATTTAATAATATAATCATTCCAAAAAAAAAAGAAAAAAAACTTTTTATATGAGAGGTACAGATAGGTAATAAGCGTTACCAAGTTTTTTCATGGTATCAGTAATTTCCGACCAAATTTCTCTAGCACCAGGATATCTATCCAAATTCATCATAGCACCTTTAAATCCGGGCGTAACTTGAACTAATGGAAAATTTCTCGCTATATAAATCACCAATTCATCCCTAAGATCGCTCCAACAAGGTCCCACAGCAAGTAATCCTTCAAAAACATTATCAATATTTAATCTAAACTTAAGGTCTGATTTCGCTATTTCACTTAATTCATCTAATCCAAATTCGCTAGCCCAAAAACATAAATCAAGAATATCTGAAACGTTATTAATACAAACTATACCAGTATACAAAAAATAAAGAATGGTTTCAAAAGTTAAAATTTCTAATAGAGGTATATCAATATAAATGAATCTTTTTTCATGTGATCTTTTTGATTTTGTCATCACGTTATCCCCTTTTTGATCTTCACAGCATTGACAATGAGACGTACCACGTCTGAGAATCTCTTGGAATTCATGGTTGGACTTTAAACTAACCGCGTCTTTAAGAATGCTTGAATGTGCGTATATGTGTTTACCTTTTACACAAAATATAATATCTGGCGCGGTTGAATCATTGTCATAAAGGTATCCCAATCTTTTTGAATTATGTAACCATTCGGGATCCTCTGGTCCGAAAATCACTTTGGTAATTAATGTATCTTTACACAAACTTGAGTTCAATTCTTTGCGTGAGCAAACATTTTTAAAAGAGATACCTAAGAAAAATGTAACGTATCAAAGGTAAACGGTTCACTTATGAGTCAGATGGATTTTTTTTTTCTTTTTCTTTTTTTCTTTTAAAAAAAAAAAAAAAAAAACAAAAGTCTATGTATAATCACCAAACTTTCGTAGTTTGGAAGCTTCGATCACTTGCGATTCTACAACCAGGTCCCTTTCGAAATTATCGGTCTGTAAGAAAATTGAAATTCTACAACGCTTCGCTTTGCTTGTATCATCTGTTATATCGAAAATAGGAGACCAACATGGAACCACCGATACAGACAAGAAACATGTATCAGCACAACAGCAATTAGTCAAGCAATGTGCTTCCGGATGAGACTATTTATCAAAAGAAAGCAAAAGTGAGATTAAGATGAGTTTTCAACTTTTGCTGTTTGAATAGAAATAAATTATTACAAGGTCAATGCGTAAGAACCAGGCATTATGTGAAGAAGTTGCAAAGACGGGAGAAACGAACAATCCACTTTGTTCAGAAAAATCATATATTGTGATATAAGATCCTATTTGTATAGGTGGTATATTATGATTCATTTTTTTGTTGGCTTTGGAAAAGAAGAAAAGAAAAAGGAGGAAATAATATTTTATGAATCGATCCCTTAATGAAATGGGAATTTGAGTTGTATTGTGTGTGTAAAAAGATCAACAACGGTTTGTTCCCAGATGGAAGATGCCCTAAATTAGTAATGATCGGACCTTTAAATAATTAGATAACAAAAAAAAAAAATTTTTTTTCTCATCTAAAATCCCAAAACAATGTTGGGCTCACGTTTTAATTTATTATGTCCAAATACCATATCGAATATTCGTTATATATTTCGATACCCAAACACTTTTTCTCCTATTACGAAAATATCACTTGTGCAAAGAAACTACGCTACCAATGCAGAAACCAACTTAGAATTATTACGGGATGAAATAGAACGAAATCCTAAATATGTTGCGGAATTTGACCCTGGAATTCTTGGTACTATGTGTAATATTTATATGAATTATAATCAAAAGGATGGAGCTTTAATATATATATATATCTTTTTTTTTTTTTAAAAAAAAAAAAAAAAGATCCATACACGAAGCCATCACAAATGCCTTCTATTTTCTCGAAAGAGTATTATCGAATATTATCCAAAAACGCACGGAATTCATGGAAGAATTTTATATCGTAAAGTTTTTTATTCCCCTTTGGCAAACAAAAACGACCGAGATATTAAATTTATTTTGTTTGATTTCTTCAGTGCTATTCATTTTTGTTATCATGAAAGAAAATCATCCGAATATAAAGATAATCCAGCAGAATATTGGTCACCAAAACAATTTAAATCCAAGGCTTTGGATATTTACATTGAAATGAACGAACAGTTCGCCCTGTATGTTGGTTTTAATAAAATCTGGTAAAAATGAATTCAAAGTATTGAACGTAATTTTTTACATTATTACATTTTTTTAACAGAAAAAATTTAAAAGAATTGAAGAGTCTTGTAGATGATCAAATGTTTAATGTAAAGTTCTTTTAAAAATGATAGATAATTCATATTTTTAATGTGATTTGATCTAATTCAAACTTTGTTATTTATTTAAGAAAATGAAATTTGAGATAAAAAATAGGGAAGGTAAATTCATATGGAAATATCATGGACTCATTGAAAAGCCTAAATATACAAATATTCGATGCGCACTTGGGCCGATAGGTCCGATTGGAAATTATCTGGCTCAAGTGACGCTAAAATTACATACTAAACAGGTTATTACGTTATCATTTCTTCTCGTTCTTTTCCCTCTTAAATGAAAACTCACGCGCCTTTTTAATGTAGAGTATAGGATTATATAATAAATCAGGCAAGCTGATTGCAGGAGATCCCAAAAAAATTAAGAATGTGCTTCAATATGTAGTGTTTCAACGTAAAATGTGGGAGAGACAAAAAGGGTGGACTATTTATGGATATGTGCAACAAGGATGATATATGTAAAAGATGTACTAAAATAAAAAATGATTCTCTGACATTAAAAAAGTTAAACATTTGATAAGCATCCATCACTTAATTTTCTCCTATACCAGTATAACCCCTGTATTCCATATTATTGTTGTGTTGATAAGGATAACCTTGTCCTCGTTGTATCATTCCTTGTCTGTTTTGAGCGTTCATATATTTGTCATAAAACTCTTCGGGCATCCTTCCACCATTTCTGGCCCTCATATTTGCTAAAGCTTGAACACGTCTTTTCAATTTGTCCGTTCTCTTTCTTTCATTTTCCTGTTCGACATAGGATAATTCATTTCTCGAAGGAGTTGTCAAAACTCCAGCAATGACTTCTGAAAACCATCCTGCCATGCCACCAACAAGAAACCCGAATATAGATGCTATGGTCAAAAACATATATAATGGATAGAAATATGAATATATTTTCTGCGTAATGGTATATGGTGTTAGAATGAATACATTAAATAATCCTTCTAAGATCCAAAAGACTGGGCTTAAGACATAAAGAATGAATGAAAATATATATGATACTATAGTATAAAGAAGGTTAAAGATGAAAATTACTGGACTCAATAATGACTTTACATTTTCCAAAGGATTATCATCCGTGCTGATTTTCTCTAAAGTAGATTGAGGTTTTGTGTTCGCCTCACATATAGCTCCAGCATCAACTTTAGCTTGACTTATAATACATAAAGTCAATAGTAACAAAGTTATAATACAAATCACAACATAAGGTTTTTGGTTTATCATAAATATCATTTTTCCAAAAAAAAAAAAAAAAAAAAAAACTGGTCAAAGTTTAAATTCGGAGGTGAGGTTTTTTCTTAGTATCTTTTTTCTTCCCTTTCAAATTTCAACTGTTTCTTTTCTTTATACTACACGTAAATTTCTTTAAAAAAAGAGAGAGAGAGAACATGGAATTCGTTTTCTTTTTTCTTTAGAAGACGTGGGGGATTATTATATAAAATACTGAAAATCACTCGGAAATCATATGTAATCTTATTTCGATCATCGGTGTGGCTGATTTTTCCATGGAGACCACGATTGGATAGTTCACGTGTATAAGATTTCTTTTTTTTTTTTTTTTGTCGCGGAATGGTAAAAAATTTTATGGAAAATACAAAGCGGAAATTTTTTTTTTTTTTTTATCTTTTCTAATTTGTTGAAACATAAATATTTTTTCAGTCATTTTTATAATTGCTAATAATTGCGCAAATTGACGCGAGATTTTTTTTTTTTTTTTTTTTTTTTTTTTCCTGCGCATTTGTCGCAACAGCAAAAGTATTGTTATTCTTAAATAAACAATAAATAAAAATCAATCAATCAAAATTATAATCTTACTCCATCAAAAAATCTTTTTTTATGTTTACGCGCTGTTTGAATTACCTTCGCCAATTAATTATAACACGTCGTGTTAATAATAATAAAGAGAGGGCAAATAATTTATTTGATAATAAGGCTAACTTTAAATTTACTAGGCTTAAAGCATTAAGAATGAATGATAATATAAGAGGAGTACCCGTGAATAAATTTTCACGAAAATATAAACTTGCAAGGGAAGTATCGGAAGCCCAAACCAACTCGACGAAAGTGGTCGGTTCCTCCTCTATTGACAACAATAACAACAATAACAATCATAATACAATAATGTCTCAAGAAGAAAAGTCACCTTATGCAAAATTTCGTGGTTCTAAAGTTTTGTATGTTACCGACTTTGCCTCACTGGCCTGGTGTGAAATGCAACAACATTATTCCCTTATGGCAGGTGGAAAGAAAGAGACAAAGGCCATGAGAGCCGGTTCGAAAATACATAATGAACTAGAACTACAGGTTCATGACATTGTTACAATACCAACAAAGACGAGAGAAGACTTATGGGGCATCAAGTATGTATTATTAACTTGAAAAAAAAAATAAATATATGTATTTATATATACCGTTAAATTCATTTATTAATAAACATTAGATTTTATAATGTGATCGTTGGACTCGAATCACTTGACACGAACTATAAAACAAGAGAGTTACCAATTTTTGGATTTGTATCAGATCTCTTTGTATTTGGAATAATTGATCAAGTTGGAATGAAAAATCGTGGAGGGGAATGGACTATATCTGATACAAAGACTCGAGTAAGACCATTTTTACCGGATCAATCAAAGATTTTACCGTCAGTAAAGTATCAATTAATGCTTTATAAAAAACTTTTTGATGCACTAATACAAGGTGCAATTGATGAGGAGATAATATATCAAAGACTTCGTTTGAATCCAGATTTAGAATTTTCAAGTGAATTGGCTAATATTATTAAAAGATTTGGAAATTTGGATGAAGGAAAGGAGAAGGAATTTCAACCAAATTTACGAAATCTTATGAGAATCGTGGTTAATAATTTTGGAAAGTTTCGGAAATCGAGTAATACTTTGGAAGTGAATTATAAATATCAAAAGGACGGAAGTGATATTGGTTCTTTATATTTTGAATATGAGGAGGATCAGATAATGAGTTATTTAACGAAATCGGCTAAATATTGGAAAGGTGATAGAACACCGGATGGTGTTCCCATCGAAGAAGCATGGAAATGCCAGTAATTATTATTTAACCTATCTCATGACCAAAAAAAAAAAAAAATTTCAATTAATATTTTATTTCTTTCAAATTCTATTTAGGATTTGTGAATTTGCTGATGATTGTGAATGGAGATTGAATAAAATTAAAGAACTTTCTCAGAAAAAACGTGCACTAGCAGAAATTACAAATGCTGGTCGAAAATGAATTTTTTACAAGAACTAGACTAGGAGAACTGCAAAAAAAAAAAAAAAAAAATTACAGATATTTATAGAAAAATAACTATAATTATAAGGATTCTAATAAAAGCGTTATTAAATTTTAGCCTAATGCTGGCGTATGAGTTTTTTTTTAAAAAAAAAATCCTCATTTCCATTAAATGTTCTACGTGACTTTTCGTGAGATAATGCAATGAATGTCCTTTGTGTGATGATGTATATAAAATTACATTGTATAAAAATGCTTTTTTTCACTCTTCCTTAAGACCCACCAAACCATTATCAACCTCCAATGGTATACCGGTTTCAGTCACAGCAACTTTTCCTTCACCATCAAATTCCTTACTACCAACTTTCCATTTTTTAATTTGATCTTTCTTTCCCTTCAATTCTTCATTTTCAATACCGTCACCAATTTGAACAATCTTTTTAAATGCTTTACCAATACCTAATAAAAATATTAAATTAACCAAGACGATTGTTAAATGTCCAGAAAAATAAATGGACTCCCAAACTTTTAAAGAATCGCTTAATGAAAGAATGTTGAATGGTAATATTATATAATGAATCATGGTTTGTGTGAATAACCAACCGAAAAAATTATATAGTGGCTTTAATGATTTAAATCTTGGTGTTAAGAAAATTGGTCGAATATGACGACGGAGAGCTATTTTAAAGGAAATTTTATTAGTTTTTTTTTTTTTTTTTTTAGGTTAGAAGTGAAGTCATTCACATTGTAATTTTAATTTACTTACTTCGATGAATACTTTGAACAAATGCTCCACTTATAAAAGTTACTAGAATGAAAAATAATAAACATGAATATAAAAATCGAACCTTTAATTACGCGCGTAAATCAACTCGACTTACAATAATAACCAGGATAAAATCCATGCCAAATAGCACTTATTCCAAAAGTAGTAAAAGTTGAAACGAAACTTGGTTTCTTTCCAGGTGGAGTCACTCTAAGGTAAACGTAATTTTTGAGCCATTTATTCGTATTCATATTCCATGCTTCCAAAAGGGTTTTCACATTATCGGCAGTTTCGTAAGCGATTATGTCGACATTTGAGACACGATTCCTATAATAGTTAATAAGAGACATATATATTACATCATTCACGAGACAAATACGGGCTGGTTTTATAATACAATACCATTTTGCATTTCCATGTTCATCATATCCATTAAATCCTAAGCCAGAAAGAATACATGCTCCTTCGGCAACCAACCAAACAATATAATATTTGAACCTGGCGCAAAAAGATGCAAGTTGTATATACAATAATCTAACGGGAACGGGAAAAAATAAATCAGTTTAAACATCTTCTTTTAAACCAATCAGAAATAAAGAGCGATTATTTACTTATCCAAAAAGGAGATATTTTTAAATTCTTCAGTTAAAGTCCAATCAAATGGATATTTGTTTCCAATAGTTACCAGACAAAGGATCCAAAAAATACCAAAACTCAATTTACTCATAGCAGAAATGAATCCGTTCGGTACATGATATTTAACATTATTATTATTATGTCGATTTACAAGCTTATCTTGCTGACTTTTGATATCTTTTCGTTCAGGTTCGGTTGAATTATTCTCGATACGGAACATTTCCATATTGGTGAATCGACGATAATCCATAAATTCAAATGCCGGCCCAACCAAGAATCCACCAAAAAAGAATATATAACCAAAAAATTCTAGAATTGATGGAATTGATGGAATAGCTTTACTTCTCTGATATGATGTTAATTCCTAAAAGAGATTGAAAATACGCGTATCATTAGTTAAAAATGGTGAAAGTGTTGAAAAATATCGCCCGAATTTAATACAAACGTTAATTGGTCTTCGTCCGTCATATACGTTGAACGCGAAAGAAGTTAACTTAATAACCAATACCATTTGCGGACCTGTCGTATCATATCTATCATACGATATGTCGTTAAGTTGCCGGTAGAGATGACTTGCATAAAATTATAATCAAGTTGTTAAAAAACCATTTTTCATATGCAGTGTTCGTGTAACGATGCACAAAATTTTCTTTTAGAACCTTACTTCACACTTAAATGTCCCAAGGAACATAAGAAAACCAATTTTGGGCCCCAAGCTCCTCTTACATAATACATTATAAGATAAGAAATCAAAGAACTTGCCACCATAGTATAAAATGCCTTCGCTAAATCGAAAACATAAAATAATACTATAATTGATATAGTTATAGAAAATAAGTGTTTAACCGCTGGAATACGTGACGGTAAATACTTGTATATTATTGCTATGGGATATGATGCAAGTAATGTGAATACCACTTTTAAATGGTCTGTGGAAGCTCCACCTGTTGAAGCAGATAAATTTGAAAAGAAATTATTTAATGTTGACATTATTTATTTCTTGGTAAAAGAACAAAAATTTTTTGTTTTTTGACCGTTATAAAAGTCTTATGTTCTGATGAATAAAAATAACGTGATTATAATAAATGGTCTCTCTTTAATTAGAGAAATTTGATAAATCCCCATTATTTATATTATTTTTTCCCCCCAACATTTTATTCGGTTTATGAACTCGAGCCAAGAAATTTTTTTTTAAATTAGATCTACCCCAACCGCATAACCATGTGAATTAAATGACAAAATTTGGGGCATTCATTTTAGTTAAACGTGTCATTAGTAAAAGTGATGTACAACAATATCAGTCCTTTCTTTTTTGGAACTGATTAATAAAATAATTTACCAAATAAAAATTGACAGGATAATTTTTTAAATTAGATTTGCAAAGAGATGGTGTCAAAATAAATTATAATAAATGTTTATAATTTTTTTTTTTTTTTTTTTTTTTTTTTTTTTTTTAAAACAAAAAGAACCATTTGCTATTTATTGTTGATCTCGGTCCCTTTTAATAAAGTCAAAAACCCTTCTCACAGGAGAAACGCTTCTTGATCGATGTAGCGGATCTTCATCCGACGAAATTCTGTTTTCTTCCTCAGATCCATTATTTAAGGAAGCTTGTGAACGCCGGCGGAAAATTTTATCCTAAAACAAAAGACGTCAGTAAAGTATTATACCATTTTAATTGTAAAATGTTTGAAATAAACATACCACAACACTCTCAGCACCGAACATTCCTGCGAAGCCCCTTACGTATTCCTGACTTCGATTTTCCCATATGGCAAACGTTTGTGCCAAATCATTTTTCAACTCGGAAAAGTCATTAGATAATTCCGTTTTTGTACCATGCCAATTTTGATGGATGGATGATCTGATATCCGAAATTGACTTTTTCATGTTGATCTCCTTGGCCTAAAAAGTCGATGCATGAGTATATTGACGAAAACACAATTAAAAAAGGCATGAAATAAATATATTAATAATCACCTTTAAGAACCCTATGTTGAGTTCTTTTGGTGAGACGCCTCTTTCCAGGTTACGCCTTACATATTGATCGTAATCCCTCACAATTCTCGTTATGAGATCGCTTGTGGAAACACCCTCGGTACGCTGTGTTGGTAGAAATCTGCCTTGCTCTTTGACGAATGAATATATATCTGATGAGCCACCTGACGTGTATGGGATCGCGTCATGCGCGACGTAATCGATTCGATAACGATCCAAGAATTCTTGGGTAATTACCCATGGCGCATGCTCAACCACCTCATCTACCCATTTACAGTGTCTTAATGATTCTGCACGTTCCTGTTCATTAAGAACAGTCTTGCCCTTTTTCTTATGTGTCGTTGCGTCGTCGCATACTCCAACGAGCAAATAAACGTTGGAGAATGCCTCCTTGGCTTGCTGTAACGATTTTGCATGACCGAAATGAAATAAATCGTAAATGCCATCGCAATAAATGCGAACAGGTCTATCTGTTGGTGGAGGGTTTATTTTAAAAGAGTATTCCTTTGAAAGTTGTTCCGTCTTTTCTTTTTCGGATAAAATCTTATCTCGATCACATAAAGGCTCTGGAAACATGTCAGAGTCAGGAGGACTTGAATTAACAACACCATTAATAGAGGTAAATTCATTTTTTGATCTCTTTGACGACGGTGCAACATTACTGGGGGTCATGGAAGATATCGAAGAAGGCGTATCAAGCGTATCATTATCTTCTTCTGATGCATCTCTTGAAACCGAACTTTCCATCTTGACTTTATGATGAACTTCTCCTCTCTTACGCTTTGTAACTTTTGTCATTATTATTATTTTTTTTTTTAATTTTTTTTTTAATTCAAAGGCGCAAAAGAGCAAAAATACTTTTTATTTCATAAAGTAAGGTGGTATGAAGTAATTTACAAAAAGGTTGTAAAATCAAAAAGGTTACATCAAAAAAAAAAAAATATTTTTACAGTAAATGGGGGCGGTAAAAAAAAAAAAGAAAAAAAAGTTGCTATCAAGTTCCACATTTCCACAAGTAGATTGACACAGGTTTTGGGTTAACTTTTTTAAGAAATGAAACTGTAATAGTTTCAACATCTCACACGTGCTTAACAGATTGATTTCATGATGAGATCACATGGACAATTATTTTTCATAGATAAGAGATTTCGGGGTTTGCATTCAGTCACAGGTTTCACAGATTTGGTTCACACAAAATAAGAACACCACATGATATTTTATCGACGACGTTTTGTATTACTGTAATTTAGTTTTCTACGATGTTTAACGCCAGAAGTTTCTATTATCAAAAAAAAAAAAATAATAATAATTAATGACGGAACTTTTCAGGTCAAGTTTAAAAAGATAAAATGCTTACCATCAGTTCCTGGAACCCCGCTAGCCAGCAATGGTCCATTCACGTATTCGTTTAACAAAGTATCCCAAATTCCTTTGTTTCTATACGATAGTTCCAAACCAACCCTAAGATAATATTGCTTTCCTACTTTATACCTTGCTCCATCAACAAACCAATTGATTTCTCCTCCTAATTTATCTTTAAAGTCTTCCCTTGTGACATTTGCTACCTTCTCTTCTACCAATTTAAGTGTACATTTTTTTATTTCAGTAAGCTTTTTGGTGTAAATATAATTGTCTGAATTGACTTCAACAACTTTTGAACATTCGGGTGAAGGATTGGTTATATATTCATAAACTGAAAATTGTATCGATTTTAGGATCGCCATTCCATTTTGTTTTACAACGTATTTAATTGGATTCGTTTTATTTATTTCGATTTGTGAGTTTGCTTGGGGATTAACAATTTCGACTTCATCTATACATATTTATATTCGTGTAAGATAAATATCGATTTTAGTAAAGCGGTTGTTAGTAACAATTTAACAATTCTTTGCACTACTAACTAACCTGCGTTTACAATCAAAGAAAATATTTGCGATATTATGATAATACACACAAAGATAAATGATTTCATCTCGGGATTTTATAGTTTTTTTTTTTTAAAAAAAAAGAATTCTTGGAGGATGTCTTTGAAAGATGAATTCATTTCTTGAACAGTTCTTTTGATCCTTTTTTATAACAAATTGAATTGATTCTTGTAACGAGATGTTGAACCTGCTTATATAAATATCGATTGAATCAATCTTTGTAACGAGATGTTAAACCTGTTTAATTTACATAGAGTATCGATTAGATTATTGCACTTTCCTAAATCTATCTAATATCAACAAAAGCCACTTGAAAAATATTATCTAACCTAAAGGGAACGTTAGTTTGGTATTCCCTTGTGTCGTTAGCATCCGTTGTGAATTTAGAATTTTCTAATTATAGAGAAGGCTAATCAATTTAACTTTAATAGTTTTGTAATTAATAGCTTATAAAAAGGAAAATGATCTTCGAATTCAATAAAAGAAAGTTTGGAACTGGTTTGAAAAGAACCATTATTCTAAAATATTCACCATTCCACTATAACGTTAATCTATAAATAAATTTTTCGCCGCAAATTTAAAAAGAAAAAATATGCGGCACGGCTGACCCAGCCCAGTGCCTTGGTTTCCGTACCATATTTAGAGAAAAATACATTGAGAAAGGTTTGATGGTTTTTGGTATTAATTACCTTTTAATATAACCTTTTTTCTTTCAACTTTTCATTTTTCCTAGAATTACTTGGTTTACAACCGATTGCAAAATTGTGCCACCACCTTTATTGAATTTCGGTTTTTGAATTTTTATTGAACTCTCCATTTTTAGTAATCATCCGACTCCTTAAAA